GGTTGTAGGAGACTGAACTGTGTCTGTGTCTGTGTGCATGTCTGTATGAGTGATGGTGAATGTATGAGAAAATAAATAAATTCCGTATTGGGTGGGTACAAGCTGCGCACCCCTCTTGTCAGAGTGTGGACGCAGCTCTTGCCACACCCCAAAGGGATGAATGAATGATTAGCCCTGTGTGAGGGCCAGGATTTAGGCCACACATGATTCTTATATTTTCATCTTTGCATTGATCAATAAATGAAAAGACTTTACTATAATGGTTTGTTTTAATATCTTTATTTGTCATTGTACTGAGTCAGTGCACGGGCTTAGTTATTTGGCTTAAGGTTAAAATATTAAAACCAATTAAAAACCATCTAAACTGTAATGTTAAAAACATAATTAAATGTGTTAAAGTTAAATTTTTGATTAAGATGACTTGATATGTTTGGTACCTGGTGTGTTGCAGGAACGGACCAGCCTAGTGACAAAGAGGTTCAAACAGGAAGTTGAACTGTTTTTATGGGAATTCTAAAGGAAGTGAGAATGTACCAACTTTTGATGTATTAGAGGGGACATGGGAAAATGTGATGTCCTGATCAATGTGATTTTGGTTTAATAGAGTTCTTTTTGCATTAACAAAAGTTTATCCATGGCTCTAAATTTAGTTAAATGTATTATGTTTATTCCAGGGCTTGTGTTGTTATTGTTTTGAGAATTTGTATGGTTTTGTTTCTCCTTTTTTTGTTTTAGTGGTGCTGGCCACCTCTTATAAATTCAGTGTATGTCTTGTCTAGTGAGTCTTGAGATGTAATGTATCCTGGAAAGGTGGTGCTGTTTTTTGGTCCTCTGTCAATCTGAGAGGCTCAAGCACGATTATGCCCTTGGAATGCTTTCTATTGCCGCGTGATTGAACCTGAATGGGATATGACTTGATCTTTTGAACTGTTATCATTTTTGTACCTCGAATGAGGCTTGATCACCTTTTATCTGGCTTCAGCAAGCTTCAATAAAGACTGTCAGGATTGAAGACCACTTTGCTCCTGTTTGTGGCTATGGACTATTTTTTTTTGTTGTGATTTGCTAATGCTTATGGCAGATCCATCACTCTGAGGATGGCACTGGTGAAGTTGCTGGCTTAGATGGAGCTCCCCGTTCTGCTTTGTAGCTCATGGTGTAACATGGCATTCTGCCAGCGCATCTCCTTTAAGGTTGAGATGATCTCTGGGAGCTGACTGGTTTGTCGCTGCAAATTTATATTCTCTTGTTGCACTGCATGCAGCATAGATTTGAGCTCTACTTCCTCTTTGCCTCGTCCATGCGATGTCCATTCATCTCTTAAAATCCATTTCTCCTGCTCTGACTCTTGGCTGACAGGAGAAGTCGATCGGGTAGGTCCTGCAGAACTTGGAGATTGTACTCGACTTTGACTGAAGGCTGGGAGTGGCTGTCGATGTGCTAGTGGTTCACCAAGCTCATAATCTGCTAAATGAGCTGGGGGCTGAACGCATCGTCGTGGACGCACAACAGGCTGTTCTTTCTCTGGCTGGGACATCTCCGTAGCAGATCAGCATCCGGCTCGAAGGACCATGTAACTTTCTCTTGTTCAGAGTGATGCGGGAAGACTGACACTATATTATGGCGGATCCAAAGCGCAACTTTTGTTAATAAAACTTTCATTTAGTCGTTTAATAGCCTATAAGTGAGTGTCTTTGTTGCTGGGTTTTCAATAAAAAAATAACAATGAACCACAAACTAAGCATTCGTTTTAAATAAGGGAAAATACCTTATTTATTTG